GCGCTGTCGCGGCAATGCCAGCGTTGGCGTTGGTTCTCCTCCTTGTACCTAACTTCAGCAACACCCTCAAACGTCCTGCCTCCTGAGCTCAATCAGGGTTAGTCTCCATGACGCGCTAAGAAGTCAGACAAGGATCGTCCCGTCAGTCCGTCGACTGAGAAACCTCAGCGAAACCGTACAGGATTGGGACCAGTTGGCCCTATGACCCTTGACCTGACACCGGTGAGGCCAGACCCCTTGAGCCTTGGCTCTTTTCCATCATCAAACGATGTCAGGCGAGGCGTTATCTTACCGAGAACGACTATTTACTCGGCCCTTGTTGACTATTTGCTCTGCCCGGCAGGGGTAAAATCACACTAGACAAGGGTCAAGCCATAAACACAACCCTACTACTGGAATTAGCTGTAGCTGCTATGTACCTTTCCTCGTCCCTTGTACCTACCTTTGAGTCGCTCGAATAGCGAAGTAGGCGACGCGCTAAGGCCTCCCTCCTAATTCTATCTGCCTCCTGCTCGAGGGTTTCTCGGGATGGGTAGTTGATTTTGGAGGAAGGCGATGCTCGGTAGCGGCCTCGGTGCTAGCTGGTAAGTCTATCGGTAAACGAGGTATCGGAGAGGCTTCTTTTAACGATAAAATGAGGCGTTAGCGATATCTAGAGGGCTTAAAATAGGCGTATTTAGTGGTAGTGGTGGTAGTGGTGGTAGTATTGTTGTTATTATTATTTTTGTTAAGTTCGAGGGTATTGATAATGTGGTGGAAGATAGGGTAAGTGTAGAGCTTTAGGTAGCTGCTTTAGGGGGCTGCCTTAGGGGGCTGCCTTAGGGGGCTGCCTGCGTTGCTTTGTTAGCTACTTTAGTTATAGCTCGGAATTAATCGAGAGACTTGAGTGTATAAGAGACGAGTAGAGGTATATAGTTGCTATAGCTAATTTTGGTGGTGGCGCTGTGTTTGTGGCTTCCCCCCTGTCTTTTGTGGCTTTCCCCCTGCTAGGCCGAGCAAATAGTCAACAAGGGCCGAGTAAATAGTCGTCCTCTATCTTACCATGCTGCGAATCCGACCACTGTCAAGCCTTAGCGTGCCACCCTCCGGCTCACTAGCCGGGGAGACGTCTTTTCACCTTCCGGATCCATACCTGAAGCATCGGCCACTCGTGCCCCATAGGTCGTTATTGGCCGAGGTCGGGGACGAGCTCAAGGGCCAAGTGGCCAGGATATTGGATGGCGCACCTGCGGGAGCGGCTAGGCGTTGAATGAATGGAGGGGACAGAGTGACACGAAGGACAACCGATTAATAAAAAAACGGCCTTGCCTGGTCTTGCGACACAAGGTACTTGTGTTTCCTTGCGGTCAGTTTACGACACATCACTTCTTCATTGCCTGTCCACGACCTAGGGGACGACAGGACGAGGGGCCCTTCCACTTCCTCACGAACATCGCCTGTCTACCCCACGATTCTGGTGGACCACGTTCATCGCAGCCCCGTCGCAACAAACAGACCGTTCTTACCCGATAATCCGTCCGCGGGGTCAATTGGCCACTGAACAGCTAGTGCCAGGGACGTGGAGTCCGCCCGAGCTGCTCCCGACCACGATGGCAATCCAAACAGAGCAACTGGTCACGCGCCCTTTCAGCGAAATCATTGAGCGCGGTAACGAAGCCATCGCGCAGGCTGAGGATGTCGCCGACGAAGATGAGGATGTGAGCTGGAGGATGCTCAAGGCGGGGCAGGCCCTTGTCAAGGAGGGTGAGAGAGCTATGAAAAGACTAGCTCCCATGGTTAAGGATCAGACGCCCGAGTTCGGTGATGCGCTCAAAGACCTAATGACACGAGACGGTTGGTGAATCTTTCATTTTCGAACGCAGTGAATGGCCAGGGGTGAGGGTGAACAGAGCTGACGATTGCTAGGCGAGGTCAAGGAGAAACAGCGAGCCTTGGACGGCATGCTTTACGACTTTGAGGATTATATCGAGGTCGACTCTTTCGACGAGGCAAAATTCAAGGAGCTCCAGGCTGCTGCGAAGTCTCTTGCGCTCACGATAATGGAAGCAGTCAGGGGAATGGTCATCGAGCCGACCAAGGAGCTGCCACGGCCGACCGTTTTCCCTCCGCTACCCCCTCTCCCTCGAACAGCGCGCACCGGTTCTCAATCATCTAAGACGTCAACCCATCCAGTACGACCTGCAACATCGGTTCCCAGCAAGGAGTCTCAACAACATTCTCTCTGGCCGAATAAGCAATCTTCCACAAAGGGCACGAGAGTCAGGTCGGGTTCGACTGGAGCATCTAACGCACCAATACCTAGCAGCCCAGAGGCCTGGCCTCGACCGCCTACGAGCCCACAGGCTGCTCCGTCACCCCAAGCCGATCGTGACTCTGGTCGATTCGACTTCGGTGTCGACCCGCGGACGACACAATGGGCTCAACAGCCACTGGCACCACCTCCTGTGCCTCGGTCTGTCCCTTCTCAGCCCATGCCTCATGCGATACCGCCGCAACACTTTGGTCATGCAATCGTCCTACCGAACCGAGCCCAGGCTTCACCTTCACCAACACTATCATCCCGAGCTTCTCCACCTCAAGTGCTGCCTCTACAGTCAATACCCTCGGGGCCTGATTACCTTCGAGCTGAGATGGAAAGAATTCGCCTCGCCGCAGAACCTATGAGCCCGGTCGAGAGGCGGCTAGGCGTCCATCTGGCGCACCTATCCTCCTCCCCTGAACCCCTGGCGGCGTCTCTGGGCCTCGGCATGGGCCACAACTATGGTGACCACGGGCCAACATCGCACCCCGATCGACGTATGACTGGCGCCAGCTCTGACCGACTCAGCTCCAATTATGACATGACTAGCCCACATACTAGCAACAGGGGCTCGACCCTGTCCAGCGCCACAAGCTATATGTCGCCTCCACGGCACTATAGTCACAAATCCCCCGCCCCCGCATTGTACGAGCACGACGATGTTTCGCATTCACCATCCCTGACCGTGGCATCACTGCAGACGCGAGATGCCAGGGTACCGAGCCTTTCGGAGCGCGAGAACAAGTCCATTCTGATTGAAGAATGGGCGTCATCAGACAGGTCAACAATTCCAGATACCACATCCACCATAGGCAATCCGTCGTGGAAAGTAGTTGATCTGGTCATCGGACCCGATAGTTCCTTCTATGAGAGGAAGGGGTTCTGTAAGGGGGCGAAAACCTTCAGAGAAAGTGGACCTGGTGATGCTGTCAAGAAGGTTGGTGGTGCAGGAGATGTGCCAAAACCGACGCCGTACACACAGGATATTCTGTACGGACACATGTTTAGCGCACCGCCCCCAGTATTCGCAGACGCCAAGGCGCAATGCATGCACTGCGAGTATGAGCACAAATACAGCCAGTTGCTGCAGGATACTGACAAGGAGTGTAAGTATCTGCTCGTTCTTCCTACCTCGGCTCCCCGCTGACACGTGCAGCTATTGCCGATCTCCAAGGCGAAGGCATCCGTTACCGTCGTCGATTCCTCTACAAGTCGCATATGGCGACCAGGCACATGACCAAGACATCCTATGGATGCCCTTTTTGTGTTCACATTGGCTCAACGACCTACGAAGGCGACGCCACCGTCTTCCCGTCCGCCGCCCTTCTCCTGCGTCATCTTGCCCGCCACCCGCAACCGCTACCCGACGTCCCCGGCTTGACTGTCTTGTATGGCACCATTACTGGCGAGCCTAACGAGCACGACTTTGACATACACTTTCCCAACCCTGCCGCTCCACCAGGTGGGCCTCCAGACGGCGGAGCGTCGCTGCCGTCGGCCGTCGCTACACGTGATCATGTCCAGATGCCAGATGAGAAGCCCCTTGCCCGGCCTGAGCCCGGCACAGAAGTCCTTCAGTTCTTTGCAGGAGCGAGGATAATCGGCGTTGAATTCCCAGAACGCTGGGGCGGCAAGTGGTGTCTCGGTTGGCACGATGGCATCTTTGGTGCTTTCCAGGCTCGATGGGTACAGCTCGAGGCACCGCGAAGGGGCAAGCTGGCGGGACAGGCGCCACCGCGTACGCAGCGAAGTGGCGTTGCTAGGTGGAAATGGGATGTCAAGGCCGGAAATGGGCCTGGCTGGTTAGGCTTTGACAAGGGAGAGACCATCACAAATCTAGACTGTGAGTACTGCGATGCGCATGGCTAAATTTGGAGGCGTGAGCTGACCAAAACATAGGGGACGATCCAGATGCTTGGTACTGGGTCGGTACTACCAGCAAGGGCAAACATGGCATCTTCCCGACTTCCCATATGAAGATCGAGACCATCAAGGACGGTTCGCTGGAGGGATTGACCTCGCCAGTCAAGCCCAAGAAGAGAGGCTTTTTCGGTTTGGGCAGACGCAACAGCAGTGCCGCTCCATCGGAACATGGATCTGGCCATTCCCACAAGTCATAGATGGTGGCATGCGTATGCATACTTTTCACAACTTGTCATCTGAGCATTGGCAAGATGCCGTCTATTGCAAGATCTGCAGCGTATTTGCAATTTGTAAGCACTGTTTTGATCAACGTCCATTGGTGCCTGCGTGTCTTGGTCCTCGTGTCGACCCTTCTGTGAAGCCCAAGGGGCATCTCTATACTAGAAGCCGACGACCTCGTCGAAGCTTCCCACGTTGACCTCGGTCTTCTCATTGTGCTGTCGGCAATACTTACTGCTGGCAGGGTACACTATTCAACAGTTACAGCCACACCGCAAAAGATGCGCAGCTTACCCACCTATACATCAAAGCCTGTGAGGGCTCCCGAGGGGTTGAAGTATGACAAAGCCGTGCCACGGATCAATACGAAGATCGTCAACCCAGAAATGATTCCTTTCTCGTTTCAGCTCTCTTGCTTGGAAATGGCCAATTTCCCCAACCGTCTGCCATGGATCCTTGTCGGAATCCCACTCCTTTCCAGCGTACTCAACTGGCTGATCGTCGAGATTCTCGAGCAATTGCACCTGAAGAGATATTCCGCGGGATTGACTTGATAGAATTACCTGAGCCTCTCGTGCAGGACATCATTGGGGTGACCGTCAACAGATTCTTCAGCACGTTGCGTCTGAGAATCGCCGGAGGGCGCGAAATTGTGCTTCGAATCATAGTCGCCGAATCGATCAGCAATTTGGGAACAGAAGCGAATTGACTCTAGATGTGTATTTCGGACCTTGCATCGCGCTCGCTGCAGCTCCGCGTCTTTGCGGGCACCAAGGAGTGTATCAAGCTCATTTGGTTCAGCGCCGTACTTCATTCGGAGTCTGATGATTCCTTTGGTGATCTTGGCGTCGGCCAGGTCAAGAGCTAGGGTGCCGTTGAACTCAATATCCTGGGTCGAGAAGTCCTTGCTAGCTTTGAACATGATGCCGTGGACATCAAAGAGCTTCATGGCGAAGCCGCGAGGCTGGGCAATACGATTCTAGGCCAAGTCAGCCGGTTGGTCCAGTATTGGCAAGATCACAATCCTTGTATCAAGCAAAGGGTCACTAGGCTCCGAGCTGTATTTGCAGATCATCGGATACTCGCCGCCCCTTTCGAGAAGCGCCGTCTGCTGGAGGTATTGGTATGGCGTCAGGTCGTCGGGAATAATGAAGGTTCCCTTCATAATTCCCTGTGTCCCAGCATGTGTCCCAGCCAGGCGATGATTGTTGTTATTCTGGCAACACAGTCGCTGGATCTCATTGGTCTGCCCAGCACTTCCTCTATATCTTTAGCCTCGCCAGGTTAGACACTCTCCACCCCGTCTGCATCCCATCGAATATACTTCCGATTTGCTAAATTGACTATGGAAGGGGTTGAATGTTAGAACAGCACATCCGCTCGCCCGAGATTTGGTGTTTCGATACGTGGCCACGGAATACAAAAACTAGGCAAACTTGACCACGAACAGTTAGCTTTCATGTGTCTTGGTGATGATATTCTGACAAACGTCCTGACTTGCCAACGTGCAGCTCCCCAAGGCATTCCAAATCGAGCTGCCTCAAACTACAAACGTTACGGACGGCTGGGTCCACCAAATCTCTGTCTCACTCTCGATGCAACCACTCAAACCGGATCTGTTCATTCTCGGCAGTCATAACGCTCAAGGGCATGATTTGGCCGACTTTGAGGAGCGGCCACTATCTAGTCGGCTGGCCGTTATCCCGATAGCGCCAGCAGAATTGTGATTCCCATTCATGTGGTCGCACGTGGCACAGCACATCCCCATACCCCTCCAGAAGCCATCGATGGACGATCTTCAGGTCATTCAGAGGTTTCAAGTACTCGACTGCCCCTGTTTAGCGGACTTGTTGCTACTGACGTGCGTAGAGTTGGCGTGTGGTTTCACCGACAGGTCATTCGTACGCAGCATCATGGCGTCTTTCTTGACGTTGAAAGCTTGAGTATGACTCTTCATCGCAGGCTATGCCTTCCTTCCAGATGTAAGGGAACTCGAGACCTCGCTCCGTTTCCTGGTACAATGGGTCGTCATCCCCAATCCTTCCCTTTCTAACGAGAAAGTTGAGCATAACGAGCCCACAGTTAGGCTTGAATTGGCCCTGCCTTAGCATATCCTTGACCTGTGTCACAGTGTAACTCTTAATGTGCGCAATGTCATCTTCATTCTTCTTGAAGACGTGATTGGGATCGCGCACTTCATAGTCGAACACGTATCGTATTCCCGGTTCAATCTTTCCAGCTGCAATCGTTGCCGCAGTTCCTGGAGCAGTAGGATTGAAGACGTGATAGGTTATAACGGTGTCCGGTCCTTTGGCTTTTATGAGTGTTTGATGGAGTTGGTCGTCTTTCACTTCCTCTTTGGCTTCGCGAAGAATGATGTCGAGTGGAGTCTGATCCTGCCTACCATCGTTGCCGCCCGCCACAATTTGATCAAAGCAGTTTGGGTAAGAGGACTTGGAAGCCCCCCGTTGTGCTAGCCAGATTATCATGTTCTCACCCTCGCCGTGGAACGCATTGAGGTGAGCGCCACTGGTCACAATTCCGAAGAGGGGCACTACGCCATAGATCATATTGAACGGAATGGGTGCGCCGATGACAGGTGTTGCTTCTTGAATCTCGGCGCCATCTTTACCCCAGAGCCCTCTAGCTTGAGGGTCACCATGAAGCCGGGCGCAGACCTCTTTGAAGGTGTCCTCGAGAGCTTTTGAAGAAGATTCATCCAGCGGAATGATGTTAGAGTTTTCGAATTTGAGCAGCTGGCACCGGCCATTCCGCCCGCGTGGTTTGTCGCAGAGCCGCTGAAGGTGTGTAGCCACGTTGGCTAAGATGTACCCGAATCTGACCAGTTTCGAGTGTGGTCGCCCCTCGGTATCGTATCGCTTGGAGGTCAGACAAAAGGCCCAAGTCCCTTTGGGAATGGTTTCGGCATTGACCTGGTAGGGATTCATGATCATTTCAGGCTAGTACTGTGGAGAAGATAGTGAGTTCGCTATCAGATATGAGTTCTCATGAAGATCTCGAGTGCACGCCTTGGTAAGTCTACGATATCTACTCTGAGAGGAAAGCATATTTAAATATTCATGAAGCCTTTTGAGAACTTTTTGGCGGAATCAGCTTGTTCGTTTCATGTTCCACAATCAATTGTACTTGATGACATGCATTCACTGGTAGTGGTCAGAACCAACACGCAACTCCACGATTGTTGCACTGTTCGGTCCGCACATAATGACTGTTTCACGCCGTTGGTGGCCCCGCGAATATGACCGAAGTGAATGTATTGTTGGCGAGCCGTGTGCAACGCCCTGCGTGACTGCGACCACAGGGGCGAAGGAGCAACAACGCATTGGTTTGGCCTCAAAGAAAAGGATGATTACCAGACGCAGATGGTACATGGCCCTACCATGCCTCTGCAACGAATATGGCAGTGTTGTAATAAAAGGACTTCAAGGTAGGAATGACTATATAATCCTGTATTCTCGTCTGGATGGATTCGTTTCAGACTATGATGCTTGATCACAGACATCGGAACCGTTCTCGGATCGTATTGGATTACAACGATTCTCCGTTGGGGCCACAGCTCGACTGAGAATCGTCACCAATTATATGCGGGGCGCATTAAAGAGCATAGCAAGGACCGAAATCCTGCTGATGATGAAAAGCCTCTGTATCGTTCGCAAGGTGAGCTGGTCTTGGACCCAAGTCTTGCAGCTAGGTCTTGCAGAACTTGGGCTGAGAGATACAACGAGTTGTACGCCCCACTCATGGCACCTAATCGGTATGCTGTCAGACACTGGACCGGGGCTTGCTTACTCTCTGTGAATGGTTGAAGGCTGGCATGATGCGGGCATGAAGTTCGATGGATTTGTACGTTTGTCCCCCTGCATCTGGTCTAAATCAAGGCAGTATCGCCAGACGTTAACGACCCTCTTGCCTGATAGTCCCCCGAGAAATTGCCGTCGGATCACGAGCTCATGGCAATCAGCCTTATGAGGCACATCTGTCAATGATGGCGAACAAACTGATGATCTGCCAGGGGCAGGCAGCAAGGTCCAGGGCTTAGGGGGTGGCTGGCGGGGGCTGACAGCGGCTGCGCCACGTATGACGGAACTACCCCGCCAATCCGCGCTGTCGGGATCATCGGCGCTGGGCTGCCTCCTTGTCGCATTTGGTGCAGTCGTTCCCCTTTGTACAGGCAATCTCGATACCCTAAGTAGGAGGCGATCTGTCTACTCCCCTCATTTTGTCATTCCGCCTTTCCCCCTACTTTCATCATTTATCCACAGCGAGCTGCCACTCGAAGCATTGAAATTCGCCGGCGCATTCCATCGCAAACAGACATCATGTCCTCTCAAGACTATTACGGAGGTGGGGGAGGTGGCTACCAACAGTCGCAAGGTTACAGCCAAGGCCAAGGGCCTCCCCAGGGTTACCAATCGCAAGGCTACCCTCAGGTAAGTTTTTCTTTTTTCGTGGCGGTATTGCGTCCATCCTAACAGCCACTTACCAGCAGGGCGGATACCCTCCACAATCGTCATACAACCAAGGCCCTCCCCAGCAGAACTACGGCGGCGGACCCCCATCGCACCAGCCCTACGGTCAAGACAACCGACAAACCTCTCCCTATCCTCCCCAGCACCAGTATAATCAACCTCCACCTCAGCAAGGCTACGGCGGCCCTCCTCCCCACCAGGGCTATGGAGGTCCCCCTCCCCAACAAGGCTACGGCGGGCATTCGCCGCAGCCAAGCTACGGAGGCCACTCGCCTCAACCTGGCTACGGTCAGAGCCAACCCCCCCAAGGCTACGGCCAGGACAACCGGCAGCACTCGTCCTACCCACCGCAGCACGGCGGTCCCCAGCAGAGTGGGTATCCAGCATACCCGCAACAGGGCCAGCACGGCGGTCCCCAGGACGAGCGCGGCCTTGGCGCGACGCTCGTCGGCGGTGGAGCGGCCGGCTGGGCGGCCCATGCCGCAGGTGGGGGTGCGCTTGGCACGATCGGAGGCGCCGTGGCCGGTGCCATCGGCGCCAACTTGTTGGAGAACAAGTTCGAGAAGAAGCACAAGAAGCACAAGAAGGAGAAGAAGGAGAAGAAGCACCACAAGCGGAGGGGAAGCGGCAGCTCCAGCTCCAGCTCCAGCTCTGATTCGGATTAAGGAGCGTCGTCATGAGTTGTCCCGCATTCTTTCCTCACCTCAGCCAGGGACTTTGCTGTGAGTCTTATTTCTGGGCAGTAATGGATGGTATGAGAGCTGTACGATGCATCGTTCCTGCAGCGCGAATTTGTCTTGCGCTGCTATCTAGGCAGTCAGGTAGTCACAAAACGTATATGAACATGCCATATCGCGATTGATTCGAGTTGCCCGCCCGCCCATGTTGCATGCTCTACTTATCGACTGACCTTACTACTGCACATGCGTCCGCCGTCAAGCTCTGCCATCGCACGATCGAGCGAAGCCAGATACAATCCTGGCAGCAACCCGCCGTGGCTGTGCAGACAGCAACCCCGAAAGCAGGACACCGCAACCTGCCTCTTTACAGGTCTCACTGATGCGTAATAGGAGATGCGACTGTTAGCATTTCGGTCGGTTGAGCAAAAAATTGGCTTATCAAGACCTGTCTCTAAAATTCGCCTCGGCATTGCGAAAATCAGAGCGCGCGATTACCTTCCGTCACAGCTTGATGATATCGTACTCGAAGTATTCCTTGGTAAATCCCTCGAATGGATCGATTGCAGCACAATATGCACTAGGTACCTTAATGCCTAAACTTCAACTTCGGCGTCGCATACTGGTTGTCCCGATCGTCCACGAAGTCCTGGTTGTATTGTTAAAAGCGCCGTGCTCGGTTGGTCTTCGGTTTCGATGGCCTTGTCTTTTTACCGACCGGCGGGCTACATGTGATGAACATGTGGGAAGTGATGCGCCATGGTCAGGTACCAGGTTAATTCAACCCACAACACAGGCATCCCTAATAAGGCATGCGTGACACTTCTGTCCTCCGACGCGTAAAGCCTGCTTGATCATGGACCCCTAGGCCATCTGATCCTCCGTCCCGAGGTCACAATGATTTACAAAGAGCGGGGAAGCGGAAGCTGTGGCACCCCTTGAGCTGAACCCCACTGACGCCAAGGGCCTCATGGTCAGTTCCTGTTCGGCGCTTCTTT